GGTTGCAGTGAGCCGAGATCGCGCCATTGCACTCCAGCCTGGGGGAAAAAAAAAAAAAACTCCGTCTAAAAAAAAAAAAAAAAAAAACCCAACAGAATGTCTCCTCATTGCTAGAGGACCCAATTCCTGGTCCCTCTCTGATGTTTCTTCTCACCTGAAAAAAAAGTACAGTGTACAGTAACCTTTTAATCCAAACCTCTTAATTGTAGGTAGAGACAGAAAGCACCCAACTGTTAGTTTTGCTGCTGTTTGACAGCTGATACAGATATCCTGATGATGTCACTACACTGCCCAGTTACCCCAAACACAGCATTTTTTCCCTGTATTAATTGTATGTCATACTTTTTCCTGTACGTATGTGTGAATAAGAAAACAATTGCTTATCAGCAGCATATAAAGTCAAAGTCAAGAATGATGGTGATGCCAAAAAACCACACATTGTCCACGTGGGTGGGTAAGATAGTGACACCTTTGCTTTCTGATGGTTCAATGTAACAAGCTGTTACATGCACAAAAATCATCAAACATGTTGTATAAAATTACCTTTGGGCTATGTGTATAAGGTATATATAAAAACATAAATGAATCTTACATTTAGACTTGGGTCTCATTTCCATGATATCTTATCATGTACATGCAAATATTCCAAAATTGGAAGAAAATCTGAAACCCCCAAAATTTCTGGTCCTGAGCATTTTGGATAAGGGGTACTCAACTTGTAAGGCATGTGAAATATAATGTGTGTGTGTGTGCTGTACAAATGTAACCTTTTTTTTTTTTTTTGAAGCAGAGTCGTCTAGCTCTGTCAACCAGGCTGGAGTGCAATGGTGCAATCTCGGCTCATAGCAACCTCCACCTCCCAGGTTCAAGCAATTCTCCTGCCTCAGCCTACCGAGTAGCTGGGATTACAGGCGTGTGCCACTGCGCCTGGCTCATTTTCGTATTTTTAGTAGAGACTGAGTTCCACCATGTTGGTCAGGCTGGTCTGGAACTCCTGACCTCATGATCCTCCCAAAATGCTGGGATTATGGGCATGAGCCACCACGCCTGGCCCAAATGTAACCTTTATTAATGTCGTTGTTAATTGCTGTAGCTTGGTACTTTTAGCAGGAAATAGGCAATAAGATGGTGGAAGTTGGGCAAATCACTTACAGAAAAGGTATATGCATATATATGATTGTGTATGTATTCTGAAAAGTCTAAAAGGGTGTATTCCAAATTGTATACGGTAGTGGGGCTTTCATATTTGCTTCCATATTTGAGAGTCTTTGTGGATTAAGTTGTTTTTACAACAAACTTTTTTTAACATTTCTTTGTCAATATTCAATATTCCATATTTGTGGACTAAGTTGTTTTTACAACAAACTTTTAACATTTCTTTCTCAATATTCAATACAAATATGTAGTTTTAATATTTTTATTTCAATAGATCTATAAAAACAACAAAGAATCCCATGCTAAAAAAAGATTTTTTTCCAAAAAGTGTGGTTTGACCAAATTGAATCAATTCTTAATGCATCTTATTCCAGGCCACCACCCCAGTATGTTACAGATCATGTGAGAAAACAGCCCCTACTAACCAACTTTGTTTTAAATTCTATGGCCTATTTATTTTATTTATTTATTTATTTTTGAGACAGAGTCTCATTCTTGTCACCCAGGCTGGAGTGCAGTGGCGCAATCTTGGCTCACTGCAACTTCCACCTCCTGGGTTCAAGCTATTCTCCTGCCTCAGCCTCCTGAATAGCTGGGATTATGGGCGCCTACCACCACACCTGGCTACTTTTTGTACTCTTAGTAGAGATGGGGTTTCGCCATGTTGGCCAGGCTGGTCTCAAACTTTTGACCTGAGGTGATCCGCCCTCCTCGGCCTCCCAAAATGCTGGGATCACAGGCACAAGCCACAATGCCTGGCTATGGCCTAATATTTGATAGTTGTTCGTTTTTTGTTTTTTTTTTCTTACAAAACTTTTAGTTAGATGTCTTCACTTAAGAAGGGAATACCCCTTTTTAAGGAAAAAAACTAAATTTTCATACCACTAATTATTAAGATTTACAATCAAAAGAATCTCAATTTGAGCTGAGTATCAGCAGTTTCCTCAAATGAAAAGCACAACATCTCAGAAATTGGAAATTTCTCATAAAATTTTAAAGACCATAACAATTACCTTTTAAGAAAACTAAAAAATTCATCATTTCCCCTCCATGGCCAATCTGTGACAGCCTCTTTTGCTGATGGGACTGCCTCCTCTCCTCTTCGAGATTGATAACATCATGTTCATAGCTCTCTCCCCAGACCTGGTCTTTTAATAGGCTCTTCTTTAGACATCACGCATCGGGTATCACTTCTTTGCGTATAATTTCCAATTTTTTTTTTTCTGGCTTGAAACACCCTTTTTGTTTCTGTAAAACTTTTCACTTATCAGTGAGCCCAATTTACATTTGTTGCTAGTATCTCATCCCAAACCTGCTCAGAGCCAAATTCATCTTTGCTTCTTTTTGTTTTGTTTTGTTTGTTTGGTTTTGGTAGACCATAATTCTTCCAGTCAACCAAGACCAGCCAAGACTGCTATGTTTTTCTTTGACTTCTTTCCTCTCTATGCCCCACAATTCTTTGCTTAGATTTTTATTACGTCCTTTGCTTCTTCCCACGTCTCTTCCCACCTCCCTGGTTCAGGCTCTTGCTTTCAAAGCAAGCAACACAAGTGAAGAGAAACAAGCAATGGGAGGTCAGAGAAGCACTCACAATGGGTCTAGCATGTGACCGAGAGCTTGAAAGATATTCTCCTTAAGTGAAAAAGGTATTCCAAAATAATAAAACAGCATCAATAGAGGCACCCCAGGCACAAATATGCTGGCCTCATGAAAGAAAAGCAAGAAGCTGGTGGAGCTTTTGTGTTGGGGCTGTATAAAGATTCTCAGGATTAGGTTGGACAGGTAGGTTCATTCCAGAAAGACTTTGAATTCCATTTCCTAAGCAATGGAAAAATACACTTATGAGGCAAGAAAATCTGTTATAAAGCTAGGGTGAGCCAGGTGTAGTGGCTCACACCTTTAACCCCAGCACTTTGAGAGGCTGAGGCAGGAGGATCACTTGAGCCCAGGAGTTTGAGACCAGCCTGGGCAAGAAAGCAAGACCCTGTCTCTACAGAAAATTTAAACAAAACAACACAAAAACTGTTGTGATGGCCAAGGGAACAAGTAAATGGAAGTGTTAATTATGGCAATAGAAATTGACACACAACAAATTTGACTCTTAGAATCCACTGTTTTGGTGACTAGTTGCTTGTGGGAGAGGGGCAGGTGGGAGATAAAGACACCAGAGGTAACTGAGTTTGGTAGCCTGGGTGCTTAAAAGCATGATTCACCTTGAAGAGCAATGAAAATGGAGCTTTGCATTTCTGAATGACAGTCAAGTTCAGTTTTAGGCATGTAGAGTATGATGTGTCAATGGGATATACAGGTGGAGAGGTCCAGAACACTCTCTTACCTCTGCGAGGATGATCTCCTAGGAAATCTATTCCTAGCTCCCTGTTGGATATATGGCTTTCATTTATAAATCCCATCAAAACAAAGACAACCTGTCTAGCCCTGAACCAGTCATGGTTGCTTTGCCACAAACCACCTTCACATTCCCACTGCTCCATTTTAGATACTAATATCTTCATTTTCCAAAGTCCTTGTCTAGTACCTGTAAGTTGTTTTCATTTCCTTTCCCTTTAATGCTTATCTTTACTTAGGCACCAAATCTTATCAATTTTTTTCCTTTGCAGTGTTTCTCACATCCACACATCTTCTGCCTCATCTAACTGCTACTGCCTAACTCTGGCCCTTATTTATTTATTTATTTATTATAGCTTAGTAATCACTTCCTAACAGAACCCTTGCTGCCATGCTGTCTCCTAACAACTCATTCTATCTTCCACAATAAGGTTACTCTTCCAAAAACCCTAAATTGATCTTGTCACTCCCTTTCTCACAAACCTTCATTTCAAAGCAAGCAACATAAGTGAAGAGAAACAAACAATAGGAGGTCAGAGAAGCACCTAGAACTTGGAAGATATTCTCCATAAGTGGAAAAGCCTGGACAACAAAGCAAGACGCTGACTCTACAGAAAATGTAAACCAAACAGCACAAACCTTTTCTCACAAACTTCATTGATTTTCTATTATCAACAAGATAAAGTTCAAATTTCTTAATATGATTCAATTTATAATATATATATAGTCTAGCATTCTTTCCAGCCAAACTGATCTACTTATCATCCTAGGAAACTACTCTATTTTCCCCAAGTTTTGCTTCATTTTCTGCAATTTAATGAGAGTATATGGAGGGCAAAAAATAATTTTATAGAAATACCTTGAAATGTAAAAAGAGACATGCTTGGTATCTTGGCATAGTCTCAGATGGGACCCCATTGAACACATCTGGCTAACTTGCCATGCCAGGGGCTCCAATCACAGATCTAAAGACTACATAAAAGAAGGGAAAGAAAAAAGAAGACAAAGTAGGGAAGAAAGGAATAAAGAGGAGATCAAAGAAAGAGATGCGTAGGAGTTGGCCATAAATGACACATCAGATTTCTCATCCCTGTTCTAAATAACCAATCTTTATAAACTTGAAAGTGATTATTCTCTTGCCTTGGAGTGCCTCAAGGGCAGAAATCAAGTCTTGGTTTTTTCTTTTTTTTTGGTCCCCAGCACCCAGCACAAAGGCTGGCACATAGATGGTGCTCAGTAAATGATTCTCAAATGAATTGCCAGCAACTGACTCATCTTCAATTAAAGGATGTCGGTGACTTCACCATCCTCCCAGATTACATTCTGCACTTGTAAAGACTTCTTTTGCTTTCGATGTGCCTTTTTCAAGATGTCCAGAACAACACTGAGGAAAAAAACAGCACTCAAAAAGGAATTTTTAAAATACAGTATATACTGGGAAAATGGATTTACCCCAACATATTCCTATTTGTCGGCCCTTTTTCTAGAGTCATATTTGACTTTCTGTCTCATTTCCAGTTCTGAGTAACTTCCACCATTAACTCTTTCAGGCAATAATCATTAATTGCTAGTCATTGTTCTTGCTATGTTGGTATAATCTGTTTTTCCTCTTAATAAACGTATTACTGTTGTGATAGTTGCTAATGAAGTTCATTCTTTCTGCCTCCACCTCTTCCCCATCTTGCCAGACCATTTGGAATTCTAATCCTGTCCTGGATGCTCGCCTTCCTAACTGACGATGGGTGTCATCTGCTAACAGCATGCTATCATCTGTCAGCTCTAGGAGCTTATTTTCTGTTCTTTCCGTGTAAATCATTGATGAAATATTAAAGAATCAGCCCCAGAATGGAGGCCTGTGGGACGTGATTTCTAATATCCCTGAGTTTGACATGAGTACCACTGATAATAAGTTTGTTGTAAAACTACCTACCACAGAGCCACACTTCCCCCGGTGTATTGGCGGAACACATAGTCTTGGGGAAGGTAATCAAAAGTCTTCCTGGGGCCAAATAGCTATGGAAAAGCTTAGGGAGAAAACTAACCTACAGACTGAACACATTTCTACCAAACAGGCACTTCATGTATGTTAATTTAATGAATCCTTCCACCACTCTATAAGGCAGTATGTACAGTGGTTCATATCATGGATCCTAAGGTTAACGTGTCTGAGGTTGAATTTTTCCTCCATCACTCTCTAGCTGCACAAACTTGGCAAAATACTGACATTCTCTGTGCTTAATTTTTATATGTGAAAAATAACAATAGCATTCACCTCAAAGGATTGTTTTGAGAATCCCATTGCGTGTAAGGCACTTAAATAGTGCCTGGCACACACTGAATTTTGTACAAATCTTAGCTGTTATTATTGTCACATATTAAAGTTGAGGACACTAAGGCTGGTATGTGGCAGAGCCAAAATTTGAGAACTAAGTGTGTGTGACTCCAAGTCTCAGCTCTTTCTACTCTATTATACAGACGTGTAGATTTATATTCAACATATTTCAAAAAGAGATTTCAGATGAAAATGGTTCTAGCGTCGGAAATGCATTAAGTTGTACCTAAGCCTCATAATTTAAGCCACTATTTATTTGTTGGGGAGGTATTTATGTTTGGTTGAGTTCTGTTTGACAACTTATTTTATAAGAGAAAAAAAAGTGACCTAAGTATAAAATGAAAATCATAGAATGCTAGGTTTGAAAAACTTCAGGGACCAACTCATTAAAACTATAGAGTAATGACTAATGAAGGGTTCCTCTGGGATTTTTGTTAAATTTTTTTCCCAATAAGTGGCAAATGCTCAAAGTAGAAAACTTGGAAAACTCTGACAAGCCCTGAGGAGAAAAATCACCCATAATTCAAATACTTCTGATAAACACTATTAATGTTTTCATGTGTGTACTCTCTTTAATATTATCTTTCTTTTAAAATGGAAAAAATAACAAAATGGAAAAAATGTATCTTTGTTTACAAAACTTTTCTTTACAAAGTTGTATCACAATAAGTATGCTATTTTAGTAGGCTGCTTTTTTCACTTAGCAAAAGATCATCAGCTTTTTTCTGTCACTGTTTTACTGATTGTTAATATTTATAAAATCTATAAAAAAAATCATAGGAAAGTACCATAAATAACAAATCCCCTTTTGTTGGACATTTAGGTTGATTCTATTTTTTCCCTCACTATTATAAATAAAACTGTCATGAAGAGCCTTGTATTATGTTGTTGCATAATTCTCTCATTATGCACAAATCCTTCTTATCCTTAACAGATGGTTAGCCAGCCTCTGTTTGATCACTTCCAGTAACAGGGAGCTCACTTCTTTGCCAGACAGCTCATTCCGTTTATGGACAACTCTAATTGTTAGAAAGTTCTTTATTTTTAACCCAAATCTGTTCCCCTTAACTTACACTCATTGATTCTAGTTTTGTGGTCTGGAATTACCCAAAGCAATCTTTTTTTTTTTATACTTGGAAGCCCATCAAATACTTGTGGAAGGCCATAATGAAACTCCCTAAGTATTCTCTTCTTGAAGATAAATATCCACGTTTATAAGTCTTATGATAAAAAAGGATGAGAAATTGGTTGTGGTGAAGGGGTTCCTCAAGAAAGATATAAATTTGGTGACAGATCATATTTCCCTTTTTGCTTTGGCCTTCTGGTAGCTCAGAGCCTACTTGGCTGCCCGGTTTTTGTAGCAGTAGAACCTTGTCACCTGTCTATATATGCAGTACCTGTTCTCTTAGACCTAATCTTCCTATTTTGCCTATGTTTTTTCTGTCTATAAGTTTTCCTTTAAAACAAAAAACAAAAAACTTACTGGTAAATCTCATGAAGATAGAGAGTAGATTGGTGGTTACTGGAGGCCAGGAAAGATGGGAGGTGAGGTGATAAAGAGAGGGTAATTACTGAATGCAAACACGCAGTACAGTAGAAGAAATAGATCAGGGGGTGACTATAGTTAACATTAATCTTTTGTATATTTCCAAACAGCTAGAAGAGAATAATTAGGATGTTCCTAGCATGAAGAAAAATAGCTAAGGTGATGGATATCCCAGTTATCCTGGTGTGATTACAGGAATGCATCAAATGATCACATGTACCCCTAAAGTATGTACATCTATTATGTATCAATTAAAAACATAAAAATAAATACATAATAAAAAATTTAAAATTTACTGTAAGCTCTCATAAATCCTCTGTAGTACAAGATATAGTATAATCAAGTAGGTTTCCCTATTATCTTTAGCCACTCCGCACAAAATTGGTTGATCCTTTCGGTTCCCTCTTAGCATTTTAGCACACATCCATGTCTTTTACTTCCAAAAGCTATCAGAGCAAAGGCATAGTTTAAGTTTCCTGCCCCTTCTCTCTGGTGGAGGAACTGAATGGAATGGGAGGATAGAAAACAATCTCGGCCGGGCGCGGTGGCTCACGCCTGTAATCCCAGCACTTTGGGAGGCCAAGGCGGGTGGATCACGCGGTCAAGAGATCGAGACCATCCTGGTCAACATGGTGAAACCCCGTCTCTACTAAAAATACAAAACATTAGCTGGGCATGGTGGCGCGTGCCTGTAATCCCAGCTACTCAGGAGGTTGAGGCAGGAGAATTGCCTGAACCCAGGCGGAGGTTGCGGTGAGCCGAGATCGCGCCATTGCACTCCAGCCTGGGTAACGAGCGAAATTCCGTCTCAAAAAAAAGAAAAAGAAAAAGAAAAAGAAAACATCTAATTTCTCCTGAATCATTAGTAGTTTCTATCGAATTTTCAACATCTCCTCTGTCATCCAATGGCATCATTTCCTGTCCTTAAAAGATGTTATAACACGTATCTCACTGACGCTCAGAGCAATGATCACCACCCATGAGGCTTCAGGGTCCACAGCCTATCCATACACATGTGAGGATGGGTTATCCTCCCTGCAGCACCTCTGATAGCAAAATACTATTATCCTCATTGTAACCTCAGAGAATGAAGGCTCAGAGAGGTGAGACTTGAATCCAGGTCCTTTAACTCTGAATCTGAGAGCCTAACCATGCCCCTACAGTGCACAGACTTCGGAAGAGCTCTGGACAGACCCAAGCCAAGAGGATTTCACTCCTGTTGGCCAGGAGGCAGGCAACTCTGCATGTTCCTCCTTTCAGTCAGGAATCCAGCTCTGATGATCCTCTTCCCACAGCGAGAAGCGTGCTAGCTGCCAGTTGCATATGGCTTGACGAAGATAGGAGAGGACATAAAGACACCCCCCTCCTCCCTCTGCCCCAGGAGGAGAATCAAGCAGATTGTTTCCTATGTAGAGGAAGTGGATGTGAGAAACCTAAGACAGCAGGCAGACCTCAAATGGGTGAGAATCACACTGACTCCCCCGACCCCCTTGCAAGTTCTGTCTTGAGGATCCAGGTTTGAAGGCACCAGTGCTGTCTGTGGGCCAAAGAGCTAGACCATTTCAGCCCCAGGAGCTTCCTCCCTGAGATGCCCACCCGAAGAGAAGCTCCACTTGCCTTTGGCCTCCCTGGAAGACCTCCACTGCCGGCAGGCTGGCCGACGTAACAGCTCAGAGTTGAAACCCTCTTAAAAATAGCTCTGTTCCCTTCTGGGTTTAGCAACTCACACTTGAAAAGCTCTTTATTCTTTATAATGAATAGAGAGCAGGAACTTTTCATTGACAAAGAGGAGCTAAAATACAAAATAAAGGCAGACCGATGGTAGTTATTCTTTTGAAGCGGTGGACAGAGAGAGCTTCAGTACTCAGCTTTCACAGATATCAACCCTTTCCTTGGGTTATTCCTGGAATAGAGGCATGAAGAGGCTTTTGAGCGGCTCTTGCTGTCAAAAGCTCATGTGTGGTGGGCAGTATTTCAGGCGACGGCATTAGCTAGAGACCAGCAGAACAGCTTGAAGTTGAAATTTCAATCTAATTAATCGACTGAAGGAGAAAAAGACCTGAAAGAAAGACTTAACTCTTTGCTATCCAGACCTCCAAGACTCCTGACCATAGCGAGGAAGGGCTGCACAGGTCTGACAGTAACAGGATAGGACTGAAGAGGCTAAGAATCCAATACTTATCGTGGTGGGAAGGACCACCATTAGGTATGTGTTGGGGAACCTTGTCTGTCAGAGAGGCCAGAATTACTCAATTTATGTCTTGCCCATAAATCAAAAGTAATTCAGATGGAGAAATAATGTCGTCTAGTTTCAAAGTAATTTCTTTTCTTTCAATCAAATGAAATGTATCTCTCAGAGTCCCAATGAGTTGGTGAGAAATTTCACCTCAGTTATTACTTGGGTCTCCTTACCTCCTTCCAAATACAAACATCTGGGAGGCAAATGAGTTGCCTGGGAAAGGGGGAGAAGACACGTAAATTATGCAGGGTAATTGAAGCTGGTCATGTGCCAAAAACTCCGAATCGCATTATCTTAAGATAGGATATTTATTCCTTGCTCAGGCGAAGTCCAGTGTGGATGTTCATGATCAGGTAGCCATCCCAGGCAGCACTCCTTCAAGCAGTGACTCAGGGATCCAAGCCCCTTCCATGATGGGGATCTGTCATCATCTGGGCTTTGAAATCCTTTGATTTCTGCCACTCTGACTAGAAAGAAATTAGAGGTAGAGATAGAGAGATCATGAGGATATATTTATGAGTCAGTGGTATATATAACTTTAGCCCACGTTCAATCAGACACAACCACTTAACTGTAAGTTGATACAAGGAGGCTGGCAGAGAAATAGAATTGAACTATGTGCCCAGAGAAGAGAAATATCTATTGATAAAATGTAGCAATCTGTACCAATGTCTTTAATCTTCGGGTCACATGGATTTTTTTTCTGTCATCCTGTTCATTCCACATCGTCCATAGAAGCTGGGTGCTCTCTCTTTGTCAGTAGGATTCGATGAGGCTAGAAACCACACCTGCTGCTGTCTTGCTACTTCTCCTGGAGAGGGGTGTCATGGACACATCAAATTCTAACTCTTCTTTTTCTCTTTCCTCTAAAGCCCCCTTTTCTCTTCCTCTCGGATGTCTAGTATAACCTTTTCTCTTTTTTTCTTTTGAGGCAAAGTCTTACTCTGTTGCCCAGGCTGAAGTGCAGTGGTGCGATCTTGGCTCACTGCAACCTCCGCCTTTGGGGTTCAAGTGATTTTCCTGCCTCAGCCTCCTGAGTAGCTGGGATTGTAGACATGTGCCACCATGCCTGGCTAATGGCTAATTTTTTTTTTTTGAGATGGAGTCTCTTTCTGTCACCCGGGCTGGAGTGCAGTGGCCTGATTTCAGCTCACTGCAGCCCTTGCCTCCTGGGTTCAAGCGATTCTCCTGCCTCAGCCTCCTGAGTAGCTGGGACTACAGGCGTGCGCCACCATGCCCAGCGAATTTTTGTATTCTTAGTAGAGACGGTGTTTCACTATGTTGGCCAAGCTGGTCTCAAACTACTGACCTCATGATTCACCCGCCTCGGCCTCACCAAGTGTTGGAATTACAGGTGTGAGCCACGGGGCCCAGCCCTAATTTTTGTAGTTTTAGTAGAGACGAGGTTTCACCATGTTGGCCAGGCTAATCTCAAACTCTTGACTTCAGGTGATCCACTTGCCTCAGCCTCCCAAAGTGCTGGGATTGTAGGCATGAGCCACACCCAGCTGTTCAGCATCATTTTCATATAGACAGAAAAGATAGAATCACTGTGAAAAGAGTAAGAACATGAAGCACACAGTTGAGATGGGCATGTGAGGCAGTTGGCTGGGCTCAACTAGGCAAGCTGATGTCACTTAAAATTATGACAGTAGGCTAGAGTCCAATGCCTCAGCAAAATAACAAATTACTTCCTACCATGTATTTGAGTCTATTGTAGATAGTTGAAAACTATGAATGACAGTTGCCATAGTTTGTTTTAGTTTGCCCAAGAGAGACAAGATTTTACCTGGTGGTTTTTTTGTTTGTTTTGTTTCTGAGATAGAGTCTCACTCTGTTGCCCAGGCTAAAGTGCAATGGTGTGATCTCAGCTCACTACAACCTCTGCCTCCCCAGTTCAAGCGATTCTCCTGCCTCAGCCTCCCAGTTAGCTGGGATTACAGGCACCTACCACTACGCCCAGATAATTTTTGCATTTTTAGTAGAGATAGGGTTTCACCATGTTGGTCAAACTCCCTACCTCAGGTGATCCACCCGCCTCGGCCTCCCAAAGTGCTCGGATTACAGGCCTGAGCCACCATGCCCAGCCTATCTGGTGGTTTTTATGAGTTCAAGTGTCTAGACCTCGAGAGAATTACACTCCATGGGACTGAAGGAAATTCAAGTACCATTCAACTACCACAATGGGCAATCTTAGAGGAAGTGTGGCTCGTGGGAGTGGCTTAGGTAGACAACAAATGGGTACATAGTCTGATTTTCAGAAAGGAGAAAAAGTAGGAATCACAGAAAGTACATATGTGTAAGTCTCAGGTTTGAAGTCAATTCCTTTTTTTTTTTTTTTTGGAGACAGGGTCTCACTCTGTCACCCAGTCTGGAGTGCAGTGGTGCAATCATAGCTCACTGCAGCCTCAACCACCCAGGCTCAAAGGATCCTCCCACCTCAGTCTCCTGAGTAACTGGGACTACAGATGTGCAATCATGCCTGGCTAATGATTTTAAATTTTTTGCAGAGACAGGGTTTCGTCATGTTGCCCAGTCTGGTCTTGAGCTCCTGGGTTCAAGTGATCTTCCAAAGTGCTGGGATTACAGGCATGAGCCACTGTGCCTGGCCCCCAGTTCTTTTTAGTACTCATCTAGATTTTACTAATCAACGGTTAATTTATATAACTTTTTTTTTTTTTTTTTTTTTTTGAGATGGAGACTTGCTCTGTTGCCTGGCTGGCACAGTCTTGGCTTACCACAACCTCCACCTCCTGGGTTGAAGTGATCCTTCCGCCTCAGCCTCCTGAGTAGCTGGGACTACAGGGCCGGCCACCATGCCCAGCTAATTTTTCTATTTTTAGTGGAGATGGCATTTCACCATGTTGGCCAGGATGGTCTCGATGTCTTGACCTCGTGATCCACCCACCTCGTCCTCCCACAGTGCTGAGATTACAGGCGTGAGCCCCCATGCCCGGCCCACTTTTTACAAGTTTTAAAAGGAACATAATAATCACTTCATATTATGATGAATTTGCTCAAAATAAGTCATACTTTTGAACCAAAATGAATCAAACATTGTTTTTCCTTTTTTGGTTTTGACTATTAAGTTGTCAGGTTAAGGAACTATGATAGACCTTCTTTTTCTGGAATTTGTAGTAATAACATGTTATTATAATAATGTATTTTATTATTATTATAATATTTTTATAGATTTGAAGCTATTGGACAATCAACCTTGGGTGTTAATTAAGATTAAGCTTTGGGAACAATCCATTAATAACAAGCTGCTTTTACCCATCTAAGTTCTGAAGCCATGAATGAATAAATAAACACAGGTGTCAACCAGATGGGGAAAAAGCCCTCACCTCTGTTTTTGGTTAAACTGACAAGAGAATGTGGCTAGTTATGTGTCCACAAGCTGGCCCCTAATCCTTGCTAATATTCCAGGCCTAACACACAGTTAAACAACCTCCCTCTCCAGTCATAGGCAGAGCTGAAGCACCTCTGGTCTCCCATTCACGGGCAGCTCAGTGATTGGTGGAAGAGGAGAATGTACGGGTCCTGCACAGAGACAACTTCAAAGAATTCAGAGAGGGCCTGTTCAAGCAGCGTCAGTTCCTTCTCCAAAATTCAACAAGCATGGTTGGAGGTAGAAGGAATGAACTAGACGCAGTAGAAGTTATGATCCTGACATTTCTGCAAGGTTAGAAGGTCTTATTTCATGGGTCAAGTTAGGAATTCATAGAGGGGAATAATTCCTTTTAGCAAACAATAGGGTAACCTAGAGTTCTTTCCCCTTGTGCTGTTAGTCAACATTTTGCTATTTGATGCATATGAAGGTATAGAAAGAATGTATAGCTTTCTTGAGGTTCTTACCAAAATAGCAAGAATAACTGCAATGACAAATGGTGGACAATTAAAAATCACCTCAGCTGGCCTTGCCCGGTGGCTAATGCTTGTAATCTCAGCACTTTGGGAAGCCGAGGTGGGTGGATCGCTTAAACCCAGGAGTTTGAGATCAGCCTGAACAACATAGCAAGACCTCGTCTCAAAAAAAAAAAAAAGTAGAAAAAAAAATCACCTGGGCTGAGTGCAACCTGGGATACAGTCTCCTAAACACAATCATTTATGTTAAAAGAAAATTTTAAAGGAGAACTCCATACACTATGAAATTGTTCAGATACATAGTGAAGAACAACAGTGTTGTCATCAATTTATATTAAAATGTGGCTGGGAATGGTGGCTTACACCTGTAATCCCAGTACTTTGGGAGGCCAAGGCAGGCAGATCACTTGAGCCCAGGAGTTTGAGACCAGCCTGGCCAACATGGTGAAACCCTGTCTCTACTAAAAATACAAAAATTAGCCAGGCATGGTGGCACATGCCTGTAATCCCAGCTACTTGGGAGGCTGAGGCAGGAGAATCGCTTGAACCCAGGAGGCAGAGGTTGCAGTGAGCTGAGATTGCACCACTGTACTCCAGCCTGGGCAACAAGAGTGAAACTCTGCCTCAAAAAAAAACAAACAAACTTGTATTACAATGTTCTAGGGATTTTTTAGTTCACCTGAACTGAATATATTATGTGTCTGCTAAAAATGTTAGTGCAGTCTCCAGTGGCATTTGTTCAACAAATACTTGTTTAGCATGTATTCCATGGCAGGCACTGTGCTGGGTAAGAGTTAATGGTACCACAGTGTCTGGAGTAATCTGCTCATTTAGGGGCACGTACTTTAAGAGCAACATTAATGCATTAAGTTGGAGGATTGGTGGGAGGAGACCTGGTCCTATTTCTTCAGGTTTCCATGAGGCAATTTATTTTTTTTGTTTTTGAGACAGTCTTGCTCTGTCGTCCAGGCTGGAGTACAGTGGCACATCTCAGCTCACTGCAACCTCTGCCTCCCGGGTTCAAGTGATTCTCATGCCTCAGCCTCCCAAATAGCTGGGATTACAGGCGTGCACCACCACATCTGGCTAATTATTGTATTTTTAGTAGAGACAGGCATTCACCGTGTTGGCCAGGCTGGTCTTGAACTCCTTACCTCAGGTGATCTGCCGGCCTTGGCCTCCCAAAGTACCGGGATTACAGGCATGAACCACTGCGCCCGGCCCCATGAGGCAATTTCTACTAACTCATAGAAACAATATTGAGTATTTTATTGGTAGAAATTATTTTAGCTGGAAATGACAGAGACATTGACATAACCAGCTTAAACAATAAAAAAAATTAGTATTCTTTTAAATTACAATAACAAGGGCCAAAGGTAGAGCAAGGGTTATAATAAGGGCTAGGGATTTGTTGTTTTGCTGTTTTTTGTGTTCTTTCATCCTCCAGATAGGGGCTTCTTCTTCAGGTTGGTTCCTCCTGGTGACTCTCATCAGCTCCTGGAACAACATGCTTCCTCATTCGAAAAATCTTTCTAAACTGGGTACGGCGGTTCACGCATGTAATCCCAGCACTTTGGGAGGCCAAAGTGGGCAGAT